CGGGCGGGGCGACCCGGTGGTGAGGGAGAGGGAGAGGAGGTGGAGGGGTGGAGGGGTGGAGGTGTGTGCCGGCTGCTGGTCTTGGCGGCGGCGGGTGGTGTCGTCGGGGCAAAGTTGAGGATGAGGGTGGTCTGGTGTAGGTCGGGGAGGGTGACGTGGTGGTGGCCCAGGAGGAAGCTGTTCTGCTGTCGGTAGGGAACGCGGGAGAACTGGCGCACGCGGCTCTGCGTGCCATCGGCGCCGACCAGCACGTCAAAGTCCAGCGCCAGGAAGGCGGCCGGCGAGGTACTGTCGCGCGCGTCGGGCGTGCGGGCGTGGAAGCGGCGCGTGAGGGCGGACAGAGGACGCGAGCACCAGAAGAGCGCAGAGTCGTTGGCCCGCGGGTGCGCGTAGTGCGCCGCCGGCACCCCCGCCGTGGCATGGAACAGGGCACGCCCCGAGGCAGAGGAGGCGGCGGTGGAGGCGGGGCAGTGCGCCACGAACTCGTAGGCGTGGAGGATAGGCACGCCCACCGTCTGCAGCACCTTGGCCAGGAACTGCTCGAGCACCCGCGCCCGCACCGTTATCGCTCCCACGACCACATCCGCCTCCTCCCCCGCCTCCGCCTCCTCCCCCGCCTTCGGCGCCCCCAACCGCCCAACAGTGGCAACAGCCAGTCAGCGGCTGGCCTTCGCATGCGATGCCCATGTCCCCGCGAGAGAGTTGCGGGACACGCACCGGCAGCGGCGGCTGAGGCTGCTGCTGCTGCTGCTGCTGCTGCTGCTGCGTTGTCTTCGATGGAGTCCGCCAGTCCTGGAACTCGAGGAGGCCATTCTCCGGACCGCAGCCGCGCAGATCGGCAGTGAGCAGGCGGCGCGCAGCGGCCAGCCAGCCGAATCCCCAGCTCTCGAGGGTGGCCAGGCCGCGCGAGAAAGGTTGGTCGTAGATGTCGAACCAGGTGTCTCTGTACACACGACACACACACGATACACACACGACCAGGGTCGCACACACCACCACCACCACCACCACCACCCACGACACCACGACCACCAGCCACCACCAGCCACCAGCAGCAGCAGCAGCCACCACCACCACGTCACTCAGCTCTCAGGATATACCGCCGCCAGGTGGGCGCGCGTGTGGGCGGGGGAGGGGAGGGATGACCTGGTGTAGGCCAGCCGCTTCTCAACGACGCACACGCGGGCGCCGCCCTTGTAGGCCTCCAGGGCCGAGAGGAGGCCGGCAGGGCCGCCACCCGCCACCACCACGCGCAGCTTTCGATCTGCGCCTTTGCTCGGGTGCCGCTCTCCGGAGACCTGACAATGGGCGGACATGTCGGCGGGAGGACCAGGCTGGTCGCACGGTTCGAGATCGCGGTGGTGCTGGGCGGGCTGCTGGCGATCGCCGGCGCGGAGGCGTGGAAGGGCCAGGTGGCGGTAGAGAGTGTCGACAAACCGTCGGACCAGCTGGGCCTTGGCGGCCAGGCCTGGGTGGATCCTCTGCAGGCGTGCGTCACACGCGACATCACCTGCTCTCTCCTCGTGGCCATTCGACTCGTCATGGCGCCGGCGGTGGTCATGATGACGATGATGGTGGTGGCGGTGGCGGTGGTGACGATGATGATGACGATGTTCGCCATCACCATCACTATCACCATCGCCATCACCGCCATCGTGCGTCACACGAAGTGCCTCCCGCACGACTGTCGACAGTCCCAGACTGCGCCGCTCCTCGTGGTCGTGGCCTTGACCAGCCATCGCGAGGGCGAAGAGTGTCTGTGTGCCAGCCACAAGAGGCTCTGGTTGGTTAGCGAACATGCTTGGCTGGCTGGCTGGCGCGGGTGGCGGCTGCAGCACCTGAAGGAGCAGGAGGCCCGAACTGGGTCTCGAAGTACCCGGCACCCCCACCACAGCCGGTTGCTCGAGCGAGAGGGCAGAACCCAGCAGTGCCTCGGCCGCCTCTGCTTCCACCCCGCTGACCAGCCACTCCTGCCACCAAATAAATATATAATAAATATAATAAATGTACATACAAATAGGTATTCTGCTTCTCGAATAGATCTTCAATATTTAAGTGTTGTTTATTTAAAAAAATGCCGAACCCATTGATAAATGGGAAGCTGTAGTGGAGCACACATTATCACATGAAGGGGGCTGGTGTACCAGCTGCGCGCAGGGCTGCAGGCGCCAGGAGGCGAAAGACGACACATTACCTCCGAGAGAGTAGGCCGCGATGCTGCCGCTGCCGGCAGTGGCGCACAGAAGGAGAAGAAGAAAGACCACCAAGGACATAGGCCCACAAGCGCTCGAATAAAAAAAGCAGAATGGGCACCAAAAATTTCCGGCATTTTGGTTTGGGCATGCCTCGCAAGAACCCAGTTTCCCTTTCGAGCGCCAAATAAAAGTTGTGCATCAGCATCTTGTAGCCGCATGTTCGCCACCAAGCCTCCGGATGCGTGGGAGGGCTTGGACGTCATCGTGGAAGAATGCTCGAATCAGTCTACGGCTTCCCAAAACATCACACTTGCCGACTTGGCCGACGCTGATGACGTCCAACGACGCCAATTCACCCTCGATCTTTGCACATCGCAAACCCCTGGGGAGGAATCGCAATTTCACAAAGCCAGGGTTTGTGCTCTCTTCCCTTCCCCCTTGCACCTGTTTTATTCTTTTTGGCTCTACCGACTCCTACACCCCTCCTGCACCTCCCACCCCCAAATAATGTCTGAGATGCAAGGTGCTGGCCAGCACGATACTCACTACTCAGCCACGTGGTGCACCGCAGGCGCAGCGCTTGGGTCACATCGCGCGCGAGCTGCGTGCCAAGGACGGGGGAGTGCCCGTGCAGTCTCGCCTGCGCGGACTCCGCCAGTACGACGCCTGCTTCGTCGGTACTCCTCTTCCTCTTCCTCCTTCTCCTCATTCCTCGTCGTCCTCGTCGCGGAGGCGGTGGTGCTCCGAGGCAGGCGGGCCTGCCCGCGTGGTGGGGCCTTGAACACGAGCCGCGCTCTCTCGCTCTCTCTCCCTTGCACTTCTCTTGGTGGGATCCTGGGCGCCCGCTGAGCCGGTCGTGGTGGGTGGACACTGGGGCGCGCGCAGGGGCGGAGGCGGTGAACTGGCTGCTCAAGCACCGCTATGCGCAGACGCGAGTGGAGGCCGTCATGGTGGGCAACGACCTCATGGATGCGGGCCACTTCCACCACGTGGCCGACAAGACCGACTATGTGGGTACGCACACCCCCCCCCCGCTGCTGCTGCTGCAAGAGAGAGAGTAGTTTCACGCACGCACGCACGCACGCACGCACGAGTTCGCTCCATCACATTCCGTCCCTCATCCGCCGCGGCTGCGTGTGCTGACCTGCGTTGCATCGGGCGTGCGCGCCCTGCCTCCCGCCCAAAAGAAAGGAGATACAAGTACGCCTTCAAGGACTCCTCCGAGGACTACTACCGGTACTAGTCCTCTCCCCCGACACACACGGCACGTACGGCACGCGCCACACAACGGACACAAGCGACCGGCTCTTGTGGTTCCTTCTCACACGGCCGCCCGCTGGCCCACATGGGGCGTCAGCTTCTATGTGCACGAGGTGGAGGAACCCAATCAGCTCAAGAAGCGGATGGAGAAGCGGGAGAAGATGATGCGGCAGAAGCAGCACCGCAGGGCCAAGAGCGAAGTGGGCACCACGCGCGAGAGCGAGCCGACCTCGCCACGCCTCAAGGAACACTCGGGCAGTGCCATCGTCGAGAGCAGCACCACCACCACGAGCTCCGTAGAGCCCACGCGACCGGTAATCCTCCTCCTCCTCCTACCACCACAAGCCACCAGGCTGTGGTGAGCATCGCATTGACCGGTGTGTGGTTGGCTGTGTGTGTGTGTTGCCGTGTGTGCCGTGTGTGCCGTGTAGCGCTCAAAAGTGGTAAAGAGGCACAATCGCGCCATGTCTTCTTCGGATCCGTCCCTTGCTGGCTCCGTCAGTTTGGACGCCTTCCCACTCGGCTCCGAGGACAGCGAGGCCGAAGCACACACCCCGATAGCCGACCTCAGGAGCAGCGGCGAAGAGGGCAAGGGCTCCTCCTCATCCCTCCCCGGTGCGTTGCGCAACTCCTCCTCCTCCTCCCCCCTGCCCATACACGCCGACCTTAACGCAGGCAACCTGTGGTGGCGGGTGGCGGGTGGCGGGTGGCCGCTTGTCTCTGTGAACGCACAGTGCGGGTGAAGAACAAGGTGCGGCAGGTAATGGGCGAGAAGCTGCGGCCGGCGTGGATCGAAAGGACATACGCTGCACCCGAAGGCCTATCGCCTGAGGAGGTCGAAGACATTGTGTGGTACGTGCGGCTCCGCCTCAGGCGGTGCGCTGCCGCCTCGCGTATACCCCAACTCACCCACCCACCCACCCACCGTGTGTGTCGTGGGTCGTGTCTCTCCAACAGGGGCTACCAGAAAGTGGATGACACCCCGTACGAGCAGATGGAGCTGCTTTCCAGCACCAACACACTGCATAAGGGCAACATCGAACGGGTATACAGCATCCCCCGTCCCTTGTTTGCAGCAGGCGCGGGGGTCAGCGGGAGCTGTGTGTGTCGTGGGTCGTGGGTCGTGTGTGTACATCTGATGGGGTAAGCTGCTGCGTGCCGTGGTGATATGTCATGCTACAGGCCACGGGTACGGTGTACATGATCGGCCTGGATGGCACGGAGGCGTCGAAGCGTGCCTTCCAAATGCTGGTGGGCCACATCCTCAAGCCGACCGACTTCGTCTACCTTATTGCCAGTGCGTTTTTTTTTTTTGGTTTTTGTTTTTTCCCTTCCCCCCCCTTCTTTTGTTATCTCCCCTTTGTCCTCTGCGCCTCCAGCAGGCGGCCGCACTTCTCTCCTTGGAGGGGTCCACGTGCTGACTGGCTTACTGACTGACTGGGCGGGCGGGTGGACGGGGAGCTCACAGTTCGCGAGCGGAAGATCCCGGACAGGCTCGCTCTGCTCTCGCGCAATTCGCCGGAGCGGCTCAAGTGGCAATTCGATCTGTGGCGCGTGGCCCGCAAGATCCTACGCCCCGCACACAAGGAGCTCCTCGCACGTCAGGTGCCCCTCTCCCACTTGACTACCTACTCTTTGCCGTTGGGGAGGACCTGTCTCCTCACACACACATGCGGCACACACCACGTGTGGTGCGCGCCTTGTCGGTCAGACCGAGCACTCGGCGCTGACGCCCAAGTCGTCGGATGCCCGCAAGAAATTCATCCGCCTCGCCCGGCAGTACCAGGTGGAGACCATCGTCCTGGGCAAACACGGCAAGGCCGACGTCAACCCTCTCTCTGCCGTGCAAGGGTACTAACGTTAGCGAGCCAGCTGCCTCTCCTGCCTTGCCTTTTTCTGACTTCTTCTTCTTCTTCTCGTCCTGTTACTCCTCTGGCGATGGCGGCTGGCGGGGTACAGGCACTTCCGGAAGATGACGGGCTTTGTCTGCAAGCACGCCAAGTGGGGCGACGTGCTCGTCTTTTGAAACGCGCCTCCGGAGCAAAGGAATACAACACCACGAAGAGGGTAAATAGTATTTATGATCTTTCCATTTATTTATTTATCACCGTGGCGGCGGTGGTGGTGATCGGGTGGCGGTGCTGTGCGCCGTCTCTTCCGGGAGTGCTCGGCGCCGCCGTCGTTGCTCTTCTCCTCACCCTCCTCGGGCGCCCGGTTCTCCTCCTCCTCCTCCTGGATGGCGGCGGGGAGGACGCCGGCCTCGGCCTTATCAGGAGCTTCTTGGGCTTGGGCGTCGGCGGCGCAGCGGGGGCAGGCGCAGACGAAGCCGTAGCTGCGGAGCTGTTGCTGTCTCTCGGCGAGGGGCAGGTGTCGGTAGATGTAGGAGATGGAGAGCTCCTCGCCTGCCGCAATGTCGCGGAGGGCAAAGACGAGGGCCTGCCCGTCCTCGAGGTAGGCCACCTGGCAGTTGGGCTCGCACGAGTGGTTGAGCGTGGAGAGCAGCGGGAAGAAGGCGTAGCCCTTGTACGGCGGAAACAGCCCCGACGTGAACTTGCACCGGCGCGGGGAAACCACTCCGTCAGCAGCAGCAGCCGTCCAGTCAAACTCAAACTCATCCTCTTCTCCTTCATCCTCCTCCTCCTCCTCGCCGTCTTCACTCTCCACATCATCATCGCCATCCTCCTCGTCGTTCTCCCCCTCGTTTTCTTCTTCGTCGTCCTCGTCCTCGTCCTCGCGGTGCTCTCTCCGACCGCTGTTTCCAAGGTCGCCCACCCTCACGCAGCACTCATGGGCGTCGTGGTCGTGGTCGTGGTCGTGGTCGTGGTCGTGGTCGTGGTCGTGGTCGTGGTCGTGGTCGTGGTCGTGGTCGTGGTCGTGGTCGTGGTCGTGGTCGTGGTCGTCTTGCCTCTCCAGCAGTGGAGTGAGGAACGGAGAGAGAGCGTGCACGGCATCTCTCCTGTGCTCGTGTGGCAGGGCGTCGAGCATCAGGAAGTAGGGCACTAAATATATAGGTATATAGAATATATTCATCTTCCGTGAGCAGCAGCAGCAGCAGCCGGAAGGTAGGAGGAGAGCGTGGCACGCACCTAGGGGGGACGGGACCTTGATGCTGATGGTGTTGAGGTTGAGTCCGCCCAAGAGGAGCGAATAGGCCGACGTGGTGAAGAACTTGGCCTCGAGGCCAGGGAACTGGCGGAGCTCATCTGCAAAGAGCTCACGAAGCATGCCCAAAGACTCCTCTGAGGAGAGCCGACGTCGGGAGGCGGTAGGGGAGCGGGCGCGGGGTGGCGCAGAACAGTGTGTCGTGTCGTGTCGTGTCGTGTCGTGTCGTGTCGTCAATTCATGAATGCCACTGCTCAGCCTCCCCCCCTTCCACCCAGGCAGCCCGCCGGTATGTCGCTCACCGCCTCGTGGGGCCGGGTGCGTGCGCACCTGTCTGAGACAGCATTTCGTGCCGTAGGGCGGCCGGATCCTGGTCTTCGGGCAGATCGACGGTCTCCCAGTAGGGGCGGGTGGCCATGTACTCGAAGGGCTGGGCGGCTTCCTCAAGATCTCCTCCATTCCTGGACGATAATTGAAAGGAATCGATGAGTGGGGAAATACATAGATCTATATAAATATATAGTTATATAAAGTGTCTGGTCACGTGGAACGACGGGCATCACCATGCCGTACGCACGCACGCACGACACGCACACGACACACGACACGCACGCACACACATACACACACACACACCGCTTCAACCGGTTCACGATGGCGTAGATGAAGACTGCCGCAAGGATGAAGAAGCGATTTCCAGTGGCATCTGCGTGCTGCTTGAAGAGCCGGAGCACCGCGGCAGGTGGCCCGGTCTGAGCGGAGAGCAGGAGACAAGCGTCCGGGACACACACACACACACACACGCAGAGAGAGAGAGAGAGAGAGACACCCACGACACATACACCCACAAGTATACACACACGGCACACACACACGACACACACGACACACACTTGCATTAGAAAAGGGTTGCAGAAAGAGGGTGGAGGAGGATGGATTGACGTGCCTTGAGCTGCAATTCGAGCGATTGAGCCTCCGAGCGACAGTGCGGGCTGCAGTACAGCAACAAGGAACCATCGGGTGTCTGACATATGCAAGGGTGGGTGGGTGGGTGAACAGGACGTGGGGGACGAAGGGACTGGCCTGGTACTCACCTGGCGGGTGAGCACGGTAGAGGTGAGGGCGGCCTCCTCGGCAGAGATGGCCGGGAGGGCAAAGTTGGCGTTGGGAGGGAGGTGGGCCTGCAGAGCATCACCACCACCAGCAGCGGCGGCGTCCACGCGCAGCGTTACCGCCTCCCCGCAGCTCAAGAGCGCCAGCTGCAGCCAAAGGGACCCCACAAACCTGCACGACGGACAAACAGACACGCCAAAACCAATAACAGACGGGGTCACCGATCACCCCTGCCTGCAAGGAGGCGGTAGGCCAGCAGTAGAAGCAGAAGCGGCGGCGCACCTATGACAGTGTTCACAGGTCGCCACAGGTCGGCGATACTCCGCACAGCAGCCTGCTGCTTTTGGCGGGGGGGGGGCAGAGGTTGAACGGCGGCCTGTGATATGCTGTAAGAGAAAGAGGTAATGTACCTTCATGGAGTGCGGTTTGTTTGCGTGATTGCAAGCAGGCAAGAGAACAATCACGGAATACAACAGCCCGATCTTCAAAGGAAGACACAGCAAAGCAGCCTTTTCCCTGGCGCTCATCAATGTGCTTCACTTCCACGCCAAAGCCAGCACCAAGTGCACGGTAGTAGTTGGCCTCCGCTACTCTCATCTCGAGTAAGAAATCTTCCCTTTTGTTTGGAATGTTTGGCGGGAAAAACTGTGCTCCTTTGTTCCAACGCCACACACACCTTAGCAGACCACGTTTGCTGATGTGCCCCTTTCGAAGGTTCCATCTGAAGGGCTCCAAGCTCTCACCATCTTATTAATGCAGCATATCTTTGGGGATGCAACGATAACGCGTAGTATGGATAAAATGCGTAGCATGCATGCTATTCAGGTCACATTTGCAGTATGAGTTGGAAGTACATGAAGAATGCATGGTGTGCCTTGGCCACACATGAAATATGCATGTTGCATGCAGACCACACACCTAACATGTGTGTTATGTGGGGACCACATGCATGACATGTGTGTTATGTGTGGACCACATGCATGACATGTGTGTTAGTGTACACATTTTACATAATGCCGACATGCATCTTATCCATGGACACCATGCATAAAATGCATGCTGGCATTATGTAAAATGCATTTTGGTGTTTGAACCACATGTAGTGCAATGCGTGTTGGCATGTGT